TTAGTGTCGGCAAGCCTAACACTATTTTGTGCTCCCTAAGTCTGTCAGAAAGAGATCGACCAGTTTCTCCGAAGTATTGAAGAGGACAGGAGGAGCAAGAAATAGAGTAGACACCAGGAACATCTGTAGAGGGAGGAGAGGTATGAATGAGATTAGTGCGAAGAGTGTTAGTCTGGCGGAAGGTAAGCTTGATGTCTAAGGGACGGAGAGAATTGTTGAGATTAGAAAGACCGGAAATGTAGGGAAGGCAGAGGATAGAAGAGTTCCCATGAGTAGAGAGTTTGGGAGAGAAGAAATTGCATTTAGCACGTGAGAGGGCAGAGTCTATGAAATGGGAAGGGTAGCCAAGACGGGAGAACGAATTATGAAGAGTGGAAATTTCTGCTGGAAGGAACTGAGTATTTGACTGGCTCATCTTCCTTATTTCCCACTTCTACCACTACCACTACTACTACCTCTTCTTCTTCTACTACAACTACTGATGATATTAAGACACATGTGCTGTGTCTGGTTGTCTTTGTTGTGGACGTTTCGCCATCCAGTGGCTGGCTGGATGGCCGGGGATGGCTGGGGATGCCCGGGTGTTGTGCATGTGTCATTTCATCCTGTCGGTATTATATACAATTCTTGTACTACTACTACCACTACTACTACTACCTCCCCCTCTTCCTGCCTATATATAGCCGTCCTGCTCCACCTCTGTTAGTGTGACTTTGTCAATGGTCCAAGTCGGACCGAAACGTCGTCGTAAGCTTCTCTCTTTTATGTGCGGGTTATTTGTGTATGTGTCCCTCTTCGGTACAGGAGAGACTGTGCTATAACTTAAATTGCCAGGCACACCATCTAAAGGGGACAAAAAGATACAAAACATCCAGGCCATGGGAAAACCTGGGTAGCCACAGCCACTCAAGAGGGAGAGGTTTTTTAGTGCCAGGAAGGAAAAAAAACTGGCAGGAAATGGCAGAAGTCGTACACCAAATCCAGTCATTCCTGGAGTGGAACCACAGTCGATGGCCTCCACTCCAAACCAACAGATACAGATACTAATGTCGGAAAAAAATCCCCCCCCCCAGTACCAACAATACCACCAATCCGATGACATTCTTGTTTGCAAATATACAGGGTCTAAAGCCAGCAACAAACAACAAAATACCTTTCATCCATGGACTGCTTGCAGAGGCAAAGGCAATGTTCACGGCTTTCACTGAGACCCACATAAAGGATCACTTGGACAACGAAATATGGATCCCAGGTTACAACCTATACAGATGTGACAGAGTGAACAGGCAAAAGGAAGGTGGGGGGGGGTTGGCCTGTACATTGCAGAGTCACTTGTTTGCACAGAACTGCTTAATGCCTCAAATGATGTAGTGGAAGTTTTAGCAGTAAAGGTCGAGAACCAAAACCTAGTCATTGTGGTAGTCTACAAGCCTCCGGATGCAACATCCCAGCAATTCCAGGAACAGCTGTTAAAAATTGGCCACTGTCTGGAAAATCTTCCAGCTCCTGCACCCAACATCTTGCTCCTGGGGGATTTCAACTTAAGGCACCTAAAATGGAGGAATATAGCAAATAATATTGTTGCAGTAATAACACCAGGAGGCAGCTCTGATGAAAACTCACACGAGCTCTTAAATCTCTGCACAAAATTCAATTTAAACAAGCAAATAATAGAGCCTACTAGACTGGAGAATACACTAGACCTCATCTTCACTAACAATGATGATCTGATAAGAAATGTCACCATATCAAAAACAATATACTCAGATCACAACATAATTGAGGTTCAGACATGTATGCGTGGAGCCCCAGACCGACATAATGAGATTAGTCACGAGGGAGCATTCACCAAATTCAACTTCAATAACAAAAACATAAAGTGGGACCAAGTAAACCAAGTCCTAACCAATATAAGCTGGGAAGATATACTAAGCAACACAGACCCCAACTTATGCCTAGAACAGATTAACTTGGTGGCACTCGATGTATGCACAAGGCTTATTCCTCTAAGAAAAAGGAGGAGTAGATGTAAAATAGAAAGAGACAGGCGCTCCCTTTACAAGTGACGGAAAAGAATAACAGAGCGGCTAAAAGAGGTCAATATATCTGAAATGCGTAGGGAGACACTGGTCAGAGAAATAGCAAGCATCGAACTTAAGCTAAAGGAATCTTATAGGAGTCAGGAATCGCGGGAAGAACTAAAAGCCATAAATGAAATCGAAAGAAACCCAAAGTATTTCTTCTCCTATGCCAAATCAAAGTCGAGAACAACGTCCAGTATTGGGTCCCTACTTAAACAAGATGGGTCCTACACAGATGACAGCAAGGAAATGAGTGAGCTACTCAAGTCCCAATATGACTCAGTTTTTAGCAAGCCACTAACCAGACTGTACTAACACTGTACTAACACTGCACTAACACTGCACTAACACTGTACTAACACTACTAACACTGCACTAACACTGTACTAACATTGTCCTAACACTGTCCTAACACTGTACTAACACTGTACTAACACTGCACTAACACTATACTAACACTGTACTAACACTGCACTAACACTGTACTAACACTGTACTAACACTGTCCTAACACTGCACTAACACTGTACTAACACTGTACTAACATTGTCCTAACACTGTCCTAACACTGCACTAACACTGTACTAACACTGTCCTAACACTGCACTAACACTGCACTAACACTGTACTAACACTGCACTAACACTGTACTAACACTGCACTAACACTATACTAACACTGCACTAACACTGTACTAACACTGTAATAAAGATAAGTGTCATGTATTCTAAGTAGAGTAGTAATTGTGCATGTCTTCTTCAGTTTGTGTATTAAAATTAATATTTCATGTGGTAAAAAAAAAAAATTTTCAAACTCTGGGGTGTCAGGAATGGATTAATTTGATTTCCATTATTTCTTATGGGGAAAATTAATTTGGCTAATGATAATTTCGGCTTATGATGAGCTCTCAGGAATGGATTAATATCGTAAGGCGGGGGTCCACTGTACTTTGAAGGAAGGATGGTTTGGAGGATCATGTAAACCTTGATGTCACCGACCTTCTGGCAAGACAATGCCTGAATGAGTGACAGTGTAAGTGTTTTCTTATCTGTTGGGTCCCCCTATGTCAGTGGGTGAGGGCTGGAGTGATTAAAAAAAAAAACCTGTTTCACTGTACAGTGGACCCTCGGTTATTGGCTGTAATCCATTCTAGGTCAGCCTAAAACCGACAAGGCCAAAAACCAAAATAATATTTCCCATAAAAATTAATGTAAATACAATTAATCTGTTCCAGACACCCAGAAATATTAACAAAAAAAATACGTTTTTTAAAGATAAACTATAGTTTTACATACACAAAACAATGAGAACTAAATTAAACAAATAATTTTATTTTTATTATTTTACTAACACACTGGCCAATTCCCACCAAGGCAGGGTGGCCAGAAAAAGAAAAACTTTCACCATCATTCACTCCATCAATGTCTTGCCAGAAGGGTGCTTTACACTACAGTATTTAAACTGCAACATTAACACCCCTCCATCAGAGTGCAGGCACTGTACTTCCCATCTCCAGGACTCGAGTCCGGCCTGCCGGTTTCCCTGAACCCCTTCATAAATGTTACTTTGCTCACACTCCAACAGTACATCAAGTATTAAAAACCATTTGTCTCCATTCACTCCTATCAAACACGCTCACGCATACCCGCTGGAAGTCCAAGCCCCTCGCACACAAAACCTTCTTTACCCCCTCCCTCCAACCTTTCCTAGGCCAACCCCTACCCCGCCTTCCTTCCACTACAGACTGATACACTCTTGAAGTCTTTCTGTATTGCTCCATTCTCTCTACATGTCCGAACCACCTCAACAACCCTTCCTCAGCCCTTTGGACAACAGTTTTGGCAATCCCGCACCTTCTCCTAACTTCCAAACTATGAATTCTCTGCATTATATTCACACCACACATTGCCCGCAGATATGACATCTCCACTGCCTCCAGCCTTCTCCTCGTTGCAACATTCATCACTCATGCTTCACACCCATATAAGAGCATTGGTAAAACTATACTCTCGTACAAATAAATGAACATTTAAATCACTACTGCATACCTTTACTGAAGACTCTTGTTGGGGTATGGAAGACAGGGAGGAGGAGTGAGGGAGGACTGATTATTGTTTGGAAGAAGAATCCCCTTTCATAATAACTAATGGTATCAAAGCCCTCTCTGGGGTTACTTCCCTTCTTTGTATTTTATTGTCACTAGGACCAGCTTGAGTCACTGTACACCTGTCACAAAAAAAAAAAAATCTGTCCAGAGAAGTCTGTTTCTGGCATCTCTTTAAGATTTGCCTGAAATGGGACAAGGTTTTGTCACTGAACATGTTACAGATATGGCTTGTTTCAGCTTGGTCAGGGTGATATTTCTCCACAGAACTTTGCAACTCACTCCACTTTGCACACATGTCCTTAATCACTGAAGGCCCATTTTCCCCTCTCTTCCTCCTCCTCTGCAGCAATTTCCTCAGCTGTGGTCTGTTGCTGTTCCAGATAAAGGTCTTGCAGCTCTACCCTCTACCACCATCACTACCACCCTCTATCATTAACACCACCACTTTCAGATTTTTCTACAATTTCTATCTTAAATTCCATCATGTTTCTCACTTTCTTTACTAAAGGAACTTTACTAGGAACTTCCTTTGGGCCCATGGTGGCTTATTTTGCAGTTGCACTCTATCAATAACCACAAAAAACAATGGATTATAACGAAACATTTGGATGAATGTGTGGAGCGTTCCTCACTCACACAGAGACACAGCCAGACTGGCTCACGAATGCACGGAAGCAGCGGGTGGATGCGTCCAATATGGCCAGTCTCCGAAATGACGGCCGAAAGCTGGGAAAGAATTTTGGCCATAAAAGTGGCAAAAATCCAAATTGGCCAATATCCAGAATGGGTGATAACTGAGGGTCCACTGTATTTATTAAATTTTACATTCAAGGCATGTAGCAACGTACCTTAATTGATGTATGGACAGTGTTGACATCTGGGAAAAGTTTTTGACATTTTTGTAGCCAATCCTCTACCTCCATGTTGCACTGATCAGCTTCGTCGATGGATATAACGGCCTCCTGTCCAGTGTTGACGGTACCCAAGCACTTTAGCATGACCTGTAGCTCCTTCTTTCCTGCCTCTCCTTCTGTGGTCATATTTGTCACTCTAGTATCTTCTTCTTTCAGGAGCTCCAATGCTGCCTTGTTCTGCTCCAGCAGATCATAGAGTCTGTCGTGCAGTTGGTGGTGCTGGGTCTTCCACTCCCTCACTTGCCCTTGGTATTGTTCCAGCTGGGACAATACATCTTCACACTCAGTTATAATGTTATTGATACTACTCTTCTGATCCTGCACTATAGACCCTAACTTCTTACTGACACCTTTTGGATGGTCATGATGCCCCTCTTCAACCAGCAGGAAAGAAGAGGCCTGTTTGTCATCTGTCTTCTTGGAAAGACTGCAAATGCAGGTGTGTACTGAAGCTCCAGTCTCATTTGGTAAAATGTATGCAGACAGTACAGTGTAAATGACAATGAAAATTAGAAGAATGAATGAATATATAAAAAGTTGACTATGTTTTGTTGGTACTATTCCCACTGACTTATGCTGTTCAGCCTTGAGTTTCTTTATTAAAGCTTCCACAATGTAGTTAACTGGGAAGTGACTAGCAGCTGTAGCAGTGTGCTGCGCACGGCAGCCAGGACAGGTTAGTTGAACGTTCTTTATTGTATCTTCAATACATTGTGAGCAGAATGTGTGGCCACATGGTAGAGTGCGTGGCCTCTGTAGATCTTCATCATATTCATTGAAACACACTTTACACTCCTCTGGCTTGTCATTATTATCCTGTGGAAAACAACTTACATTATAATATGTAATAAAACAATTCAATACCATATATACCCGATCATAATTCCTCCTCCTAAAGCCATGCATGTTGTAAGTGGCAACTAAAATGCCAGGAGCAGGGGGCTAGTAACCTCTTCTCCCGTATAAATTATTAAATTATTAGGTCACCCTGCCTCAGTGGGATATGGCTGGTGCACTTGAAAAAAAAAAAAAAAATGTAACCTGCCTAGTATGGGCCAGTAGGCCTGCTGCAATGTTCCTCCATTTTTTCTTAATGAACTGGCCGAATCCCATCAAGGTAGGGTGACCTAAAAAGAGAAAAAACGAAATTTTCTCTTTTTAAATTTAGTAATTTATACAGGAGAAGGGGTTACTAACCCCTTTCTACTGGCATTTTAGTCACCTCTTATGACACTCATGACTTACAGAGGAAGAAGCATTTTCCACTTCCCCATGGAGAAGACAGAAAATAAAGCAGAACACAAACTATTAATAAAACAGAAGAAAACCACAGCAAATCATCTTAAACCTTTAACCCTTAAACGGTCCAGAGAGATCAACGTTCAAATTCGTATTGCTACAAAAGTAGATCTACTTTTTTTTACATATTTTCAAACATAACAAAAAAAATGTAGATAAAAGTTTTTTTACACATTTTCAAATGTAAAACAAAAAAGATGATCTACATTGTTTTACATACTTTCAGATGTTGAAAAAAACGTATATATACGTTTGGACCATTTAAGGGTTAACAACCCAACAAAAGCCTGCAGTGCGAATGTTTACCAACTCCTGCACTAGACAGCACACCCAAGCGCTTTACAAGTCTTAACTTGCTTAATATACAAAACTTTCTTTCTTTCAACATATCGGCCGCATCCCACCGAGGCGGGGCGGCCCAAAAGGAAAAACGAAAGTTTCTCCTTTTACATTTAGTAATATATACAGGAGAAGGAGCTACTGGCTCCTTGCTCCTGGCATTTTAGTTGCCTCTTAACCCTTTGAGGGTCGACAGGCCCTCTCCAAAACTCGTTCTCAGGGTCGGCCAAATTTAAAAAAAAAAAAATTTTTCTCTCATGAAAAGATAGAATCTTTTTCCCGATCATAAAGACACCAAAAGTTTGAAATTTGATAGAAAACTTACGGATTTATGCTCTCGCAAAGTTAGCGGTCATTGGTATGTTTAGGCACGGCGATGTTGCACTTTACCCCATTTTCGGCCAATTTACACTGTACTAGTCGACAAAAACATGAATTACATGCTAGAACTCCATTTTCTTCATGAATGGCGCAAGAAAAAGCACCCAATTATGAAATCAACTATCCAGTACAGTGCAAATTTAGCAATTTTGCAAAACATTTCACACAAATTTCAAAAGATGCCATTTCCATAGGTCCAGAATAAACAAAAGACATTCTGGAAATAATGACATTTCCTAGTCATTAGTCATGTCTCAAGGCCCCTCTTATATCTTTTCTTTCCATTTGAATTTTATTCTCACAAAAAATATAAGATTTACTAGTTTATGCAGACTACTGATTAGTGTAAAAAATGTATAATATTATTGTGCACTAGTGAAAAATATTAGACCACCAGTTGACTGTATTGCACCTGGCACGATTGTTTTACTACTTTGAAGTTGGAAAAATCGAACATTATCTGCTACTTTGGACTCAATTTCAAGGCACTTTCATTGTAAAACCATCAAAAATCACTCATTTCTGAATGTTTTCCATTCTTAACTAGACAAGCAAACTAGAATACAACATAAATACATAAGAAATTACACTGCAAATCGCGATTTATTCAAAAAATGGTCAATTTTTTTTTTCTCATATCAGGGCCAGATTTTTTTTAGACTGGTGGCCACTGACCACAAAGGCCCATTCTTTCATATGAAGCCGACCAGCTTTCTCCCACTAGATTGGCCGCTAGCAATTTATGATATAGTACTCAAAAACCCCTACACTGGACGTACTAGTACGCCAAAAACCCTCAAAGGGTTAAAACACACATGGCTTACGGAGGAAGAATTCTGATCCACTTCCCCATGGAGGTAACAGGAAATAAGCAAGAACAAGAACTAGTAAGAAAATAGAAGAAAACCCAGAGGGGTGTGTGTATATATATATATATATATGCTTGTACATGTATGTGTAGTGTGACCTAAGTGTATGAAGAAGTAGCAAGACGTACCTGAAATCTTGCATGTTTATGAGACAGAAAAAAGACACCAGCAATCCTACCATCGAGTAAAACAATTACAGGTTTCTGTTTTACGCTCACTTGGCAGGATGGTAATACCTCCCTGGACGGTTGCTTTCTACCAACCTACTACTTAGGATATACAAAACATCCATACTTATTACTGTGCCTACTACATACACAAACTCCTCCTTGATAACCGTAACAGAACACAGCCATTATACAAGGCACAAAACACTCTTCGATATCCCTCATGCCCATCTCTCCCTATGCAAAAATGCTATGCACAGGGCCCGAAGATCTAGAATTCGTTGTCAGAACACACTAAAGGGCCCCTGCCTGAAAATCAATTTAAGACCCTACTTAGAAATAACCTCATCACTCAAAATTAACCAGACAAACAATTTAACACCTACCAGTTGCTCAAAAAACTCCCAGATATTTTATGACTGCTCAACTATTTAATCATTACTTCAAACTTAAAATTGTTTTAACTTCATTGTTTTAAATTGTGCTAAATTCCATTACCATATTTTTTATAAACAATATCAAAATTAATTCTTCTCTATCAAACTTACTAAAGCCATATAATGTGAACTAGCTGAATATTCAATTTTCTTATCTTCGCTGTAACTCACCGAATGACCATATGTATAATTACATCACTGTTATTGCCTTATTAATCTTAAGTTAGTCTTGAGTTTGCCCAAAATGCTCTGCATATAAAGGGGCTTTTGGCATGTTCACCAAATTGTTACACTCCTTTGTACAAACATGTAACTTGTTAATTACTTCTATTGATATACAGTAGACCATCATTTAGCACGAGTTTATTTGGCACGATTTGGGTATAGCACGATTGAGGAATTGCGGCACAATTTTATGTAACACGTCGTATGATGAATTTAACATGGTTCAGTTTGCGGGAAGGAAAACAAAACTTTCCCTTTTCCTCAAGCGGCTGCCTTGATGAGGATCAGCTGGGGAGACCTCCCACTGTCCCCAGCCACCCTCCGACACCACCCCACCACCCCAGCATTCATACTTCATACGTGTCCAATCCAACTTCTCTGCTACAAGCTTGTGATTGTGAATTGTGTTTTGATCTTTTAATTGCTTTATCTTGTATCTGCCAAGCAATCATGACACTCAGTATAAGCATATCAGTGTTTCTCAAAGTGGCAAGAAAAGGTGTAAGCATTTAAATCTTAGGATTAACAAAGGCAACAAAGATATTAAACAAGACATCCTGTGGCCATAATGAAGTGTTACTTTGTACACATAAAAAAAAACGTAAACATAAGTTTATGTGACTGACTGACTGACTTACTAAATGACTGACTTACTGACTGAATGACTTACTGACTGAATGACTGACTGAATGACTGACTTACTGACTGAATGACTGACTTACTGACTGACTTACTGACTGAATGACTGACTTACTGAATCATGTGACTGACTTAACTAGATGACTTGACTGACTTACTGAATCACTTGCTTAACTTACTGAATTACTTGACTGACCTACTGAATGACTTGACTGACTTACTGAATGATTTGAGACTTACTGAATCACTTGACTGACTTACTGAATCACTTGACTGACTACTGAATCACCTGACTGACTTAATGAATCACTTTACTGACTTACTGAATTACTTGATTGAATGACTTAAAGTTAAACACTCCAGTACAACCATCAACTTCAGTACCAGTACCTCTACCATCCACCTCAGCCCAGTAGAACCACAACATAACTCTACACTCTCTTCACAATCATCCACAAACACCAGCACCCACAATTTAAGGTAAGAAATACGATTATTTATGTTACATTTGTAGTCCTAACCCTTTCAGGGTTTCTGACGTACTAGTACAGCTTATGCGCCAGGGTCCTTGAAGTACTAGTACATACAAATTCTAGCGTCTTCAAATCTCGCGGGAAAAGGCTGGTAGGCCTAGATGTGAGAGAATGGGTGTGTGTGGTTGGTGTGCGTGGTAGAAAAAAAAATCTGGGACCCAGTGGCGCATTGTGGGAATGCCATTTTAGTAAACCTTGTTTACCATGCCTCACGGTAAGAAGCTCCTCACTCTTCGGCAAATTGGGACACTTTTGTTCCCCAGTGACAGTTCTAATACAGATGGAAGCACCAGTGAAGATGAGTTTCAAGGTTTTGGTGAGGTTGTGACTGAAACTAATGACCACAATATCGGTAAGAGTGAGGAAAACCCAGACGACTCTCAGCCTTCCACCTCTGCTGCTGGGCCATCTTGTTCACATTCAGTTGTACCAGAATCAAAGAGGTAACTCCTATTTTCCCAAATCCCGGACTCAGATGAGCATTGGAGATAATAGTAATAGTGAATATGAACTACAAGCTCTTGAAACCAGTTCCAGTAGTGAGAGTGAAGTGCAATATTCTCCAGTGAAGCGTCAGTATATACGACGATATATGCGCTCTGGTAGTATGCCATAAGCTATTGCAAGGGGAAGGAGTACATCTCAGAGTATATTCCATGGCTGTACAACAGGAACAGACAGTGAAAATGACGATGATAGTGTTGCAATTGGGATGGAAAACATGCATGGTGGTGGTAGTGGTGGTGCCAGCGGTGAGGCACCAGCAGTGGGCCATGCTGCCACCCACAATGCCACCCACACCACTGCCTCAGCTGATCTACAACAAAGGCCACCATCTCCCACCCACCCACCACACCAGCCTCCACAACCAAAACCTCCACAACCACAACCTCCACAACCACAACCACCTGTCATTGTCCAGTACGC